TGAAACCATTTCATATCTCGTCAGAAGAACTGGTTTTAATAGGAATAAAAATACTTTAATTTGTTTTATGAATTTCGAAAAAAATCTGTTGAAAGTACTTAGCTTAATTGCTTTAGAAGACCAGTTATTAAAACTGTCAGTCTTGCACGGTTTGCTGCTACTTGCAACATAGTAAATGTTACTGAAAAGCTTTATCCCCTAAGGGTATTTTAGAGAATTTCTCACGTAAGTGCATATAAACCCAAAACCTAACACTAAGATGTCAGAAACGAGGAATGAAAGCTTAATAGTCTGGTAATGTAACGTTACTTGAGTTGGTCGAAACTGAAGTTTTCAGCTGATTATGGCATGGAGTTTGTTATCCAATATGAGCAAATGTGTTTCATATCTCCAACTAAGTCTGTTCGACTCTAAAAGAACGAAGAAATGTTTGTTTCTTTAGTGCTTTCCATAACTGAATTTTTCTCTATTTATTGACGTCTTTATGCGCATACTCAGAAGAACATTATCCAGTTCAAACAGTAACAGAACAATTACGAAAAACAACACATTGCCCTTTTACAATATTGCACTGTGTTATGTTATAACTCGGTTTTGTTTTAGTAAAAATTTTCTTTTTTAAAAAAAGTGAAAATTGATATGGGGTAGGATTCGAATCTGTAACACTGCTTGCTGGGCAGATACTTTAATTAACTAAGCTACTGCATTGTCGAGCGCCATAAGTCTCGGTTTTCAGTTTATTGGCTCATAAGAACGTAATTTACTAACACCTTTGAGCTAGTCTCGGAATCCCTTTATGGGTTTGCTGGAATTGTCAATTGTAAGTTGTTTAACTATACGAATTTTAAGGCTGTCTGTGATACAAACAGGAGGTCTTAATTGAAACGCGATTTATATCTGTCGTTTGAGTGAAGGATCTTGTCGTTAGTTGCTATAAAGATTGAAAGGCTTGCTACAGTAAACATCGTACTGGAAGAATAATGAGTGAAGTATTACATATTATTATCAGATTCATGTAACTGTAGCAGTGACGATGCTTTTCTAGCTTCACAGGACCTTATTTCCTTAAACAACTGATATATATATATAATGTTTAAACTGAGCCTATGCTACAACACAGCTAGTTAATTGAACTTTAGGATTCAAGGATCGAAAATTACTGTTAACAATGACCTACGACAGATGAAGTGGTATTGGGTCAGTGACGGGAAATGTTTAAACTGAGCCTATGCTACAACACAGCCAGTTAATTGAACTTTAGGATTCAAGGATCGAAAATTACTGTTAACAATGACCTACGACAGATGAAGTGGTATTGGGTCAGTGATGGGAAATGTTTAATATTATGATGGTTCACCCATATAGAGCTATCATGTTTTGTTATGTAAAAAATACTGTAACTTAATGTTCTATCTGAACTTAATTGTTTCATGAGATTTCCATTGTTACAATGTTTCAACACTTTAATGATATTGTTCAAACAAACAGTATACAATTCTGCATCGAACATCGCATAGGAAAATACGTAGAGTAAACGCTATGCGTCCAATAGTCCTAAATCTGTGATGAACAACATTTAACACTCCCGATGGTTTCTCGAAAGTTTCTTAATCAGTTCGTTACTTATTTTAAACTGAATGTTTGTACATATAACACTGATATTTTTTCAACACAATTTACTGTCTGGTAAGCCTTTCTTTTAGTACTGAAACTTATAGGTTGGACATATGACATCTTGCAGTCTTTCAGAGGTGCTATTGATATATAAAACTGAATTTCATATTATTTCACAGAATCGAGACATTTTGCTAACATTCCAGTTCTTATTGTTTCAACAAAAGGATATATAATATCTATAGGGTTTTGAATCCATTTTACTTCACCAAGTAGTAACCTAAATTAATTTCGGTATGTGAATAATGTTATGACATTTCGTCGAATTCATAATTAAATATTATACAACGAACCAACCGTTTAATGGCTGTATATATATACGTTATTTCTTTGGTTTGCTCATCCAAGCTGTGCTGATTAGCCTTGAATAGGCAAAACTGCAGTCTACAGTAAAGGGTACGACCAATCATAGAATACATAAAGCCTCAACGTCTCAGGTTCTCTTTTCAATTTCACCTCTGGTGAAAAAGGAAAGATATCTTTAACAAAAGGGTATACAATTACGTTTAACGGGTAGTGAGGTAAATAATGTTACTAATAGGTTTAATTGATAACTGCCCTTCTTCAAGTTCAGTCTTGACATTCAATATCTTCAAATGTTTTTCATATAGTATTCTATAAAGAGAAATTATCGTCTGTTTTGAAGTGTAAAGCCCGCTATATCACGTGAAAGCACACAAAACGTGAACGTGCAGTTTGAAGCTTTTGTCTTTTAATCTGCATCTCTTCACACTCACCACTAGGCCACGCACAGTACGTCTTGTACTTACACAACAGTACAATCAAATCAAGCACATGTTTACTTATTACGTACGTTATACATGTTGGATGGCCAAACATCGAAGTTCGTATGCATATCACTGTTATATTGGTAAAGAAATGATAACTATTTTTAGCTGGATACTCCATCTTCAAGATTTATAACATAATTAAAATACTTCTTTATCAATGAAAATATTTTTTATTTCTACATTTCTAGCATTAAAGCGTCGTCTAGTCGATACACTGCAAGAAAATTACTGATAACATAAAACATTATAATCTGAGTCTGATAATCATTAGTTTTACTGATATAAGCATGTATTTATCTTCAGTTTAACATCGTCTTATTTATAGTATCATTCCTGTCTCGATCCATATTAAAAGTTTAGATAATAATCAGATGTTTGAATATCAGTTTTATCAGTTTCTATTTGTTACAATCATCTTCAGTTTCACTGTTTACTTGATATTCTCTAAATTTTCATATGAATAATATAATTTTTGTTAAAAACAATAATTTATATTGTATGTCTGAAATGTCACTTCTTATTATAATGTTTTCGACCCTTTGAAAAATATTCAAAACTTTTTTATAAGGCTACTTACATTTGATTGCTGTGTTTAGTTTGCCTGTAATGTTGTAACAACAGTGTTCTGGTATTGATATTTTTTGAACTGTCGTTTATAATTTATACTTCACATGCATCGCACGCTGTCGGTTTTAAACTGTTTACAAAATGTCTGTTTATCTTGAATTCTACGCTTGTGCTCTTAAGGCTACTCAAAACTAGTCGTGTCAATAAAACTATATGCTGCGAATGTTTGTATATATCATTACTTATCAACCGCGTTTTTCCTCGCCATGTAGCACTGATGTCGTAAATCCCATGTCGACAATTTCATTAGCGAACTTTCTCGATAAGCATATCTGCGTCACATGAGACAGAGAAGCACATTTTAAACATATGTGTTCTAAAACATAAGACGTTGCGTTTAAATGTTTAAAATCACCAAATTAAGGATTATCTCAATATATATTGTTATTTGTATGTAACACATTTATTAACTGTAATCAGATTAATACCTCTGAAACAAATGTTAAACTCTGATAAAAAAAAGATAAAAAATATCTGGATAAGTTATTACTTTAAAATAGACAAACTATGCTGACTGTTTCTAACTATTGATGGGCCCGGCGTGGCCAGGTGGTTAGGGCGCTCGACTCGCAATCCGTGGGTCGCGAGTTCGAATCCCCGTCACACCAAACATGCTCGCCCTTTCAGCCGTGGGGGCGTTATAATGTGCAGGGTCAATCCCACTATTCGTTGGTAAAAGAGTAGCCCAAGAGTTGGCAGT